CCCGCCATTTGCTTGCGACAAAGCATCGGTTCGACGGAACTACTGCCTTCTCTGTGATCCTATCCAACGCCAATTCACTGCAGTTTGCTGAAGCAGGCGCATCCGGAAGATGGAAGCCTATTTTGTGTGAACGAGAGAAGTTATTCGTTACCTTGGTGTTGCCCCGGTAGAACCTATGAACTTATTAACGGTAATTTTATCAGTTTATTGAGGTCGTCAATATTATATAATCTGTAGTACGCACCTGATGAGATACAGCGAAATATATCCGGATATAAATTGTGCAACGTAAACCTACTGTATTCTCTATTCAAGTTCATTACGTGCAAAGAGTTGTTTCAATCTTAGGTAGGTTACATTTCCCCGTTGTTATGGTTTTCCTGTCAGACCGACGCCACGTGAATTGAAGTTGCAGAACCGAATGGCGGTGCAGGAGAATACGAAAAGTTCCCAGTGGTGACATCGTGTTTTATTTCAATTGTGATCGGTATCAATAGCCTTCCTGTGTCTCCTAGGCATGTTTGTGTGTTGTGATCTCTGGGTCCCAGGTTGCCCCTCGGGGCATGGACATTGTATTTTGGTTGGGGTTGCCAGTGCCTTTCACGAGACAACCGGATATTTTCTGATAATTGGTACGCCTTTTAGTGGTTTTGTGATGTTCGTATTGAAGGATGCTCTTGACAAAGAAATGAATAAAGTTCTCGCGCAAATGGTACCACTCTTTCATGCTCGAATAGGATTTGTCTTTCTAAGGACTGAATGAGCCTATTAGTCTTGCAAAGTCTAAATGTTCCATCCGATGCTATCTGCTACACAACTGATTCTAATCAGATACATTAAATGCATGTTTCCTAAATCTCACCATTGTTCGGTTCAGTATTATTCCAACTCTTACCCCATTCGGACTTTATTTAGCTAATGTTTCCCACGTCCACTAATTGGGTTGCTGATCCCCGTGGCTAAACAATAAGTTCTTATCACTGAACTGGTTTATTCGTTTCCTAATGCTCCGCAGATCTTTCTACCGAATTCCGATCTACATTGCAACCTTTTCGCGTTCTTCTTCAGATGGAAAACCCGGACGCGACAACCGTATTGGATCGGCGATACACCACTGTGCTCGCCATCGGAATCCCTCCCACCTCGGCCCGTACACTAAGCCCGCATACAAAGGCAACCACTGATCACGACCACAGCCCGGTCGTGATCAAAGGGTTCGGTCGGACGAAGGAGGCTGCACATGATGACGCTGTCCTGACCGCATTTCGACTACTGGCCCGAGTGAACGGTTCGTTGACACAGCTGCTCGCAACAGACAGAAATACGAACAACGGCAACAACAAGATTGCCGCACAAGACACTAATTAACGGCACCCTGTTTGCACAGACTTTCCACTCTGAAATTCTGTCAGACCAGTCCCTACCGCCGATCGACTCGTTCTATTGTTCCACGTGCAAACTTCCCTTGTCCTCTTACTTTTCACACCGGGCATCAAAGCATCCAACTGAAAACACTCGTTCGGTTATCTTTCTGTTCAAGTTGGTGCTCGTTTCGACCACACATTCGGGATAGTTATGCACGGAACAATTCGCGTCTATTTACAGCATGTTTGGTGTCTCCTCAATCTGCAGTCGTTTAAAACAAGATAACTGTGAATCTGTTCTTCTTCTCCACGCTGCGCTTTCACGTGCCAAAATCTTTTCAGCGCATGCCAAATGTAACCGCATTTTGTCCCTGTTTTTTTAGTGCCATTCTCTCTCTCTTGGTTGCATTACTTTGTCCTATCACAACATATACCTGTTCTCTATCCCAGTTAGTATTACGGTGCTCATCGCTAGAATTTGGCTTATTTGAAAAGTGCATCTTCCCCCTCCTCATTCTGACCGATTAGATAACGATCTGATCCCGTTTCCAACAATCACGAATCACTCTTCCGTCAATCTCTGTCTTCCTGATCGTTTTTGAACGAACGCATTTATCTTCAAAACACCATAAACCAGTGATCCCGCAAATGACCAGCTTCAAATCTTACTTCTGTGATTTCTGTATTCTTTGTTCAGAGGAAGGGGGAACGGAGTTTCCACCTGAACCTCAGAGATGTGGAACAAATAACTAATAAAGTGAACAAGCTTGTTTTCGTATCTTTGTCTACAGGCAATGACAGTTGTGTGCTTGTACAGAAGGTAGAAACAAATGCGATGAACAACAACAATGTCTGTTAAGTGCAATAGAGGCACCTCGACAACGGGGGTGGAGTGGGGGACAAAGTTAAAATCGGGAAATTTCTGACGACCTATTTCACATGTGACATGCTTGAAGTCATGGTTCGGTTCGTCATGTAAGTTGGGTAGGGACTAAGACAACTGGATTGCAGTGAAGAAATTGGTTGCCGCACTCAACATCACTAATGTACAGCGTTAGCTTCACTGTATTACGCTGTACAATGATTATGTTGATGAGTGCGGCAACCGTTTTCTTCTGTTTGCATAATGGTGGATTTTGTTTGCTTCTGCTGTTTTCAAGTGATGAACGATGAGACAACCTTCATAAAGGATCAGAGCACATAAACCGGCTTGCTTTAGCACGGGTTGCAAGTGAACAATAGCCAGTGCTATTGTAGCCCGCCTCGCCGATATCGGACACCAGAAAGACATTGATGCATTTAAAATCATCTAAAATGTGCAGTGCGTTTGGGCAACGCCAGAAGCAGTAGCAATCAAAACCCTAAACCCAGCATTATGCAAATAGAAGAAAATTTTTGCTCCAATGCCCGAGAAACGGTCGCTCAATGACTACAATTCACTGTGGGAGTAATTTAATTCCCGTAGTCACTAATGTGTTATCCTCTGTCGAATCTCGCCACCGCTTGCTATATTAGATCTCCGATTCACACCATTCACAAGCACTGACGATGTCATATCGGCTGGTGATGAAAAGTTCACAAGCAAGTTACCACACTGGGCCAACAGGTGAAGCGCAACACATCACATTCGTCTGAGTACAGACAGAGTAATGAAAAAAATAACTGTAATTTTATAACTTGTGTAAGCTCAGTTGCTTACCTTTCGGTCAAAAATGGACACTGGTCATCACATCGGATAAATATACAAACTCATAAAACATGCAAAGTGAAAATCCAAGCTGAGGTTTGATTTGTGCACGCAAATTTTGACGTGATTGAATAACAGAAAGTTCCTTGTTGGTTGGGAGTCAGGCCAGGTGGAGGTACCGGGGAGTTCTTATATCCGTTTATGTATGAGAGAGACAGTAGCTTCTGAAAGCTCGATCCTGTCGATGGATGGAAACTATACAAAGATAAATCAAGGTACAGTGGATGATACGGATCTACAATCGTTGATAAGTTCTGGGATTAATTAATCACCCAAATCCATGATACACGACTGATCATCATCAAACCACGACGAGAATTTTAGAAGCCTTGTTTTAAAAGGCCAGGAAACACTACAGGGAAGCAATAGATCAAGACTGGGGAAACGAAAGAGGACACTATCTGTGGTTTTCGGATTTCCCCATCGCTAAAACAAAAGTTAACTAAGTTTCTCCCTTACAGCTTCCTATAATAGGAAATCCATCCATAGTTTGCTCTTGGGCAGTACTTTGGATAGCAAAGGTTCAACCCACTTCTGGGTTGGGAATCTGGTTTTCTAACTAACCCACGTGAACTGCCAGTGATCCAACGATTGGTGAACATCCCGGATATTGGCTTTTCATCCTGTTATTTTTCCGGGGGGGGAGACCTCCGCGTGAATGTCGAGAGGAGGGCTTCTTCATCAGAAGCTATCTGAGGCGCTTCTTCGTATAGTAACGCTTCATGAGAGTGATCAGTCACAACCAACGCTACCTGCCCGACGCTCTTAAGAAAGACAAATAATAAGAGGCCAGAGCCCAATCAGGTCTCATTTAGACCATTGTTTATTCGATTGATGTATTCTCACGATCATTCAATAAATCGTTAACAATGTGCCGATCAGCACACTCTTGTGTGTTGTGATTTCTCGTGCGTTGGGTTACGGGCCCTTAAAAAATACGGTACATTGTCGCGGTTTGAATTCGGTCTTAACACACAGGAAATGGATTCCAGAATGTTGACGTTGAATGACCAGTTGGAGAAAAGCTGTGCAACTTGGAGTACGTTGAAGACATTGTCTATCCATTCGAATATTTGGAGGATGCACAAAACGTATTTAATAGACCAACAAGTTCAGTCGCTCCACTCGGAAAGCGCTTTACTCGCCCAAATGGCAAATTGATTTCCTAGCACCGTATATCGATCATTCCTGCTTTGAAACTCAGACGTCAGAAGTTTGCTGTAGTCGATTAATTCTCTTGTCTTCGTATGTGAGCCAATAATGAGATTGAGTTTGCGATTGGATGTCCCTGATCATCGGTTGTTGTAGTTTGGCGGGAGTCGGACGGAGCTATCGGATTTGTAAAACTGAGGTAATTCTTCGTCTACTCAAGAGTTTCGATGGAAAACTTGTTATCCCACCGAATTGCTATATGCATACTTAGCTGGTTGGATCACTTAGAGTATGCATATCGGCTGTTTACCACTCCCCCTTTAAGATGACTGAGAGATCAACAGATGAAATAGGGTCAGGGCATGAAGAAATGCACAGAGATATTGGGTACAGCTGGTCTCCCGTCTACCAGATTAGGGTCCACGAACTTCTGACTGATTGGTGGGGAACGCTGTAGGACACAGCAGCGAAGTCAGGACAATGGTATTCTGGTTGTCTTTCTGTATCATACCAAGCTGCTTGCAGAGGCGTGTATACCAAACTAACCACAATCGTTTACTTTTTCCCCTCCCTTCAAAATATGCCCGCACTCTAAACATCGTGCGTTTTTTTGCCTTCTTTGCGTTTATGGTGTTTTTCACAACTATCAGCGACGTTCGCTTCAATGCGTCCCGTTGTATAACGAATATGATCACATCGCTACCAAGTAATCTTCATGGTTTATGGTCTTCGACACTAACATTCGCTCTCTAGCCAGACTTGCCCTAATCATTCTCCAAATGGCATGTACCTTTCCCTAATCATCATTCATTATCCCTTGGTTTGTCATTTCTTCTACCCCTTACTGGATGTGCCACGCCCGATTGCTGACCCAGTGGGTCTACCGATCGATCAGACTGTGTCCTCGCCCTTGACCCATATCACATTCACCCCATCACAGAATCTTCTCCAGATATTCAAATATGCTAAAATTGGCCGTTCGGCTTCATGACTCAGTCCCAAAGATAGCTAGTAAGTGCAAATCTCAATCAGTACCGTCAATGCACCCACTGGCTAATTAGTCTACCTATTGCTTCTACACTTTGTGATTGCTGTTTCCAAGTGGACATACACCGTCCAACTCATAGGTTTTTGCAATAACTCTACTTCCGAGGGAACCACAACCAGTTGGAGTACCCTAACAGCAGTTTAGCAAAAAGCATAACTGCGAAATCTCAACCACCCAGCTCTTAACAGAAAGAAAGTGATCGAAAATTTAACATAACTGTGGCAAAATTATTGCATGCCCCCCTCTCCCCCGCTCGAGGTTTGATTCAAATGAAGTATGTTTGTGTGGCTCAAAGCGACCGTGGTGCAGTTGAACCTTGGCACAGTTTCTGGACATTCCTCAAACGACTCTCGAACATCTAACCCTAGCAATGCGCTTGCTCTAGAACCGATTCATCTGACGGAACTGCCAGTGTTTGAATTTGAACCACGCCTCGATCAACCGGTCCGTGACTTTGACGTTCAGCGACCAGCATCATGAAGCCTCATAAGAAAAATTTGAATGTTGAGAGGGAATCAAAGCGGCTAAGTTGGTGGAATGCAAGACGAACGAGTGAACCAAACGATCAAAGTCTACTATGGCGATTTATGAGAAGAACGTTGAGGTGGAACTCGCAAACTGAGGGTGTTATCAGACTACAGTAATGAAAATGGTTTTCTAGCTCACCGGAAATCAGATGTACGGCAAAAACCCCGAAGTGAAAAATTCTGTCATAGATTATTTCCACCTAAATGACCCCAGACACGATGCAAATCAGTAAGTAATCTTTATTCAACCTTGAGATGAGAAAATCATTCCTGTGACTAAATTCAACGGTCAATTTAGGTTCGCTTTTGTACGGGATAGGAACTGGCCATGCCTAGTCGGGTACCCCTCAGTAGTATGGCCAAGTCGGGCAACCGCTACTGCGGACGGGGGGTATTCCGTACCGCTAAAAAAACATTGGATCATGTCCTGGTCGATTTCGATCTTCGTTTAACCATTCCCTGCATCGACGTATGGAAGATCTGTCTAAATGTACCGTAGTTGATACAATCAAAGAATGATGTTCGACCGC